GGGACCCGCCTGTATTCAAAATTCCCAAGAAACCTCATGAATATGTCAACAGCCATATGACGCGGTCTCAAACCTCTCAAGTTTTATACATCAGTAGGACCGGGAGGGGGAAGGGTGGGAGTCTCAGCTCCCTCACTAATTGACAGTGCTATAAAGATCACACAAAAGAACCATTGTAGTCTGTTCCTATTTCTAAACGAGAACCGAATTATTCCGTTCATTGGCAACATTCTGAGTCCCAATTTTGGCATCATATTATAGTCCCAAGTATATTGGACGTATTATGCCGAAGAGTGCGTGATCACCCCTTCCCATTCCATGCACAGTTGACTACTCCGAACCTGTCGGCGGATTTGTCACGAGCCTGGGTACAGTGATTGATGAGCAGCGATGCCCGGCTATTGTCTGCCATGTGCCGACGTGGCCCCTGGCGCGACAGCGGTGAGGTGTACTTGGGGGAGAACAGTAATCACGAGCAATAAGAGGTTGTTTGCAATAGTTAGGGCCGAACAACTGGTGCATTATTTGGCGTTCTCTCTGTTGTTCAGTTTGAAACAAACTTCGATGGGAAAACTAGTGAATTCGATCTTGTGTGTCTGAGAGACTGTGTATTTGAAACAGTCCCGGCTGTAATTCCTTTTAGTGAATGAAAACCTGAATTCATTAAGCCGGATTCCTCCAAAGTCCTTTTTTTTGCTTGGCCGATTTCAAACTTAGACTTTAAGATAATTCGTGTTTATACCTTCAGACCCTGCTGTTTAAGAAGAAGAAGAAGAAGAAGAAGAAGAAGAAGAAGAAGGGTGCGGGTGAGCTGACCTCTTGCTTTGTTGTTGGACAAATGCGTGGCCTCTTATCACCAAAACGCTGGTTTGCGTGTTCTTTGTCGCGCGTTTTGGGTTACCGCGTAGAGCTACAATTATTCGTTTTATGTGAGGCAGTGAAATCCTTACACTAGAAACTATCTGGCCGACCGATGACTGAGACTCCTATCTTGCAAGGAAGATGTGGTCGCTGGGACAAGACTTCTATTCGCCAGACTTTTAGAAATCCGTCGCGGATTCTTCACCAGAGACATTAGTAGAAACAAGGTCCGCGAAGAATTTCGAAAAGTCAGGCGAATAAAAGTCTTGTCCCAGCGATCTGAATTACTTCCTGGGACTCGCATGTTTTCTTGCATTGACAACTCTTGTCTTGTTTAATTCCCGAGGAAAATAGTGCTCGAACTTGGAGTTAATCCTCCGCAACAGACCTGCTCAGATTCGGTCTGAACCTTGATCTTAATATTTGAGCTGAAATGCATCAGACTGAGACTCCGTCTCTAACATTCTCATCCATAGTCTGATATTTTCCTACAGAGATTCGAAGACCGTGTTCTCGGCATCGACAGACGGCGTCCTCAAGGTTTGGACCATGTCTGTAGATCCAGGAGACGCGCCAGAACTTAGCGATGGCAAACTATCTCCTGATCTGCTCCGCGAAGGATGTTCGATCCACAATGCCCACTCGGGTGCAATCAACTGCCTCCATGTGTCAGTTAATGGAAAATTTCTGGCCACTGCTTCGAGAGACAAGACAGCAAAGGTAAATTTACCCAACGTACTTTTTAAGACTAAGTAGCTAACTCATTTTGCATAGTATTTAATAGTAACCCTCAAACAGGGTTTTCTTATAATAGACCGAAAACCCATACACCACATATCTCGCCTTTCACCGTCAACTTAGTTCGTTTTACACAATAACTTTGGTGATTTTAAACTGGAATACCAATTTTCGGCACGCCTAAATGGAATGCAAGAAAAAGTTTATCATAAGGACTTAATTGTTGTCTGAGCCTTCTGTTCAGGATGAATCGTTTCCGGTCATTACAAACATTCTTCACATTCAGAATACATGAAAGCAGATGGTATTCCTTGTTCAAGTATTTTTCGTCGACTACTAACGGCTTCCGTCACTGAGTGATCAAGAGTGCAATAAACACGCCAAGGGGCACAACGTTGTTGTGCTAATCCGGAATCATCATTTCGAATTACTGTACCTCGAATCTGGGCTAGGGTAAGATTGCGAAAAAGGTAAGAAGGTGCGGCCCAATAATGAATAGTTCTTAATCCAAATCTCCAAAATCAACTTCTAGCATCATCCCCATTGGACTGCTAATGTGTCTGCTTACAGGGAAGCTGTCGTTCCGTATGGAAAAAATATAAGCGGACTGTGAGCAAGAAAGGCAATTGCAG